ACCTTTGAAACATAGAGAAGAAACAATTTTAACATTTTTAAAAGATGTATTAATTGATTATAGCCATTTATTCCAATTAAGTGTCATGAGTGGCTAGAACTTAAGTCTGCACCCCACGGTGCAAGACAGGAACCATCCTTGGGTAGGGCTCTCTAGCTACACTGATGAGTGCTTCATGCACACACATACACACCAACTTAGTGACCTCTAAGGAATCTTACGTGAACATGTTGGGGATGTAGAAAGAAAACTGGAGGAGGTATGGTGCTGCCAGCAGGTCGATCTGTACGTGCCGGGCTAATGCATGAGCAGCCTAATGGTGCCTTTAGACTTCCTGATTCCTAAAATTGCCACTGTGCTTTTGGCCGGACCCCAACAACTTGGGGCCAACTTTGCCAAGAAATTAAACAGCTAAAAGTTAGGTATGTGGGAGTCACACCCACAAACCACCTTCAGCTCAGCTGTACAAGCTCATTTATTGGCCTTATTTAAGAGACCCATAAATCTCAAAAGAGCTCAAAAGACACATGCTGCTGGTGAGCGGCCATTCCCTGCAGGGCCTACACTAATAGTTTATTTCTCTGGAAAACCTGGAAACAAGGGCCATGATCCAGAGACACACAAAAAAATCTCCAAACTGAGAAACTCACTGCAGAGATGCCTCTGAACTTTATGCCAGGCTGACTTCACTGGGGTACCTCAGATGAGGGCAGACGTCATACGCTGCAGGAACATGGGTTCTGTGAGGCAAACTCCAGACCTCAAGGGATAGTGGATAGGCTGGTCCTTCTCATCGCCCCATGCCCATGGGATCCTGGAGGTCACGCCCACAAACTACTTCTGGCTGCTACTTAATATCCTTGGCGGCCAGGATCCAAAGACATAAAAAAGAATTCTCTGAATCAAGCAGCTCGCTTCAGAGATTTCTCCAGAACCTAATTATCCAGAATTTTGGAGTTCCAGAAGCATGTGGCTGCTCTTGCAGCAGCGTGACATCTTATGCTCTTCATAACAAGCAATACAAAAGAGAGTTTGGAGGAGATTGTCTGCCATCGAAGCAGGGGGAGGGATGGGATGGGAGGATACTAAGGTTCTTGGTGGTGGAAGATGTGTACTGATGGAGAATTGGGTGATCGATCATTATATGACTGAAACTCAAACAGGAAAGCAATCTAAATAAAAAAAAGGAATGTGGAGTTCATGCCCAATTAAATCAGCTTAATCAATGACTGAATAAATAGCAGTACTCCTACATTTAAGAGAAAAGAAATAGAAAGAAGGAAAGAAAGAAAGAAAGAAAGAAAGAAAGAAAGAAAGAAAGAAGGGAGGGAGGGAGGGAGGGAGGGAGGGAGGGAGGGAAGAAAGGAAGAAAGGAAGGAAGGAAGGAAGGAAGGAAGGAAGGAAGGAAGGAAGGAAGGAAGGAAGGAATAAAGAAAACTAGGTGCCCAGAGAAAACACAAAGAACTGGGAAGAACATAGAAACTCCCTGAACACAGTGACCTGAGATGGGGATGCATTGTTTTTCCTCATCAACATTATACTGAAAAGATGTTATTTGAAGACGTGCTAAATAATATAATTCTATAAGAAAAAAATCTTTATTTTTTCAAGTTCATGATACATGTATTCATATGTGCGCTAAATTCCTACCAAACTTTATAGACCTCAAATGTATGCTTGTTTAGATAAAATACATTTGGTAAATTGTTTAATACCAACAAAATATTTTTATCTTAATCCCTTTTATATTGTATCAAATGTATTTTATAGTAGTTAAGAGGTTTGCTCATGTAGTGGAAATTGTATAATTCAACCATAAAACTTTATGAGTTTGTTCATAACCGAGACGCTCACTAAATGCTGTGTTTTATAGACAGTATAACCTAGATCATACAAGACGATACTGAGTGAATTCAAGAGGAATATGTTTTCAGATAGTGAAGCCTAATGTGTTAAATTGCTATTCAGAATTTTCATATTTCCTAGTCCCTGCACTCTACTACTTTCAATAACATCAATATGATTATTTTTTCTTAATAAAAATATGAAAGATGGATGTCATGCAGTTATCTAGATTGCATATAAAAATATCACAGAGGAGAATGTACCCAAAAAGAGGAAACCAGAATTCATCATTCCCAAATATTTTTCTTCAACAGAAATACACTTAGAACTTAAGGCAATTAAATAACATTAACAGTGGAAAATATGCATCATTTTCTTCATAAATGTAAGCAATAAATTGTATTTGGCCAAAGCAAGACAAACATCATTCCTTGGAATCAAAACAAAACAAAACAAACAAACCCAAAACAGTAAAACAACCAATATAATGATCTCTTGCTACTGCTCAAAATAAAGAATTAATAATTGTTAAATTTTTTTTAAAACGATTACTTGATCACTTGACATCCGTTACTCATCAATTCGCTTGTGTGGACGCCAGTAACATCTCCATTTGTCCCTGTTGCATGCTAGTGTAGCCCAATGGCATCTACTTGTTCTAGGAATACAAACAGCGTCAAACCGATCATTCAGGGTCTTGACGAAGAAGTCTGACCATCTTGTAGGTGGGCGGCCATGCGATCTTTTGACGTCCCATGGAATCCAGTTAGTAACTGCTTTAGTCCTGCATTCATCTCCAAATCGCACTACATGTCCAGCCCATCTGATTTTTAAAGCCGTGTCAAACGAGACATCATCCCTGGTTCTTGATCATCGATGGAGGTCAGAACTCCAGATTCTTTCTCTCACTTCAGTGAAGTGTAATACTCCAAGTATAACTCTTTTGATTCCTCTTTGGGAGACCCGAATAGCGTTCTCATCCTGTTTTCGTAGGACCCAGGTCTCTGAGGCATAAGTTAATGCAGGAAGAACAGTGGAATCAAAGAGTTGTGCCTGGAGCTGGAGGTTCTTCGTCATCTTAGCTATTTCTTTGACGCTCTTGAAGGCATTCCAAGCCGCTCTCTTCCTCATGCACAACTCAAGTGCCAGGTCATTTGTCATGTTTACTTCTCAACATAGGTACACATAACCATTGCACCCAGAGATGTTCGTTCCGTTGAGAGCAAATGGAACATCAGGAACGAGACTGTTTCTCATAATCATTAACATCTCTTAAAACAAGGTACATTTAATTGTTTTTTTAGTACTGAGAACTACTGTTACAAATTATCATTGACCAGCAAAGTTTTAATGGTTATGGATTACTTATATAATGCAGCAAGAAAGAATATGTTTTAAATTCACTTTTGATTTCTGTTTGATTTCCTAGTTCAATCTCATGTGTATACAGCGGTGGGGAGTTCACCTCAGTTGTGGAACCAAGGCTCAATCTTGGTTAAATTTGGTGTGTTGCTAATGTAAGTGAGAGGGTCTCTCCTGTCTATGCAGATTTGCTTGGGGTCAGTGATGCTGGCAGTTACTAGGGTCACACTAAACAAGGCTCTGGTTATGTGAGGTACCAGGGTTTGAATTGGGAGAGAAAATATGTGCTCCACCCTGTTAATGAGCTCCCAAGCCCCTACAGTTCAATTTTATCTATTTTTTTTCAGAAGCAATATGTACTAAATTATTTTATTTATATTTAATTAAAAAATTTGCTCTGCTGGGCCTGGATAGCCCAGTGGGTAGGGCGTTTGCCTTGCATGCAGCTGATCCGGGTTCTATTCCCAGCATCCCATATGGTCCCACCAAGGGGGAGACCATATGCTCATATGCTCATCCCATATGAGCACCGCCAGGAATAACTCCTGAGTTCAGAGCCAGGAGTAACCCCTGTGCATCACTGGGTGTGACCCAAAAAAGCAAAAAAAAAAAAAGTTGCTCTGCTAATGTTTAATTGACAAGCATAACTATATATACTGAATGTACAATGTGATCATTTATTATACATATTCATTGTAGAATGTTAACTTCTAGAATTGGATGAAGGTCAAAATAATGCACATACTTATCACCTTCTACAGCAAACACAGTTCTAAGACTGTATGCCAAGGGTGCTTAAGAACTGTTAAAAGTGGTGTACTTCACTTTGAAGATATTTTTGTGCTAGAGAGATAGTACAAGGTTTAAAACACTTGTCTTGCAGTGACCAACCCTGTTTTGATTTCCAGCACCAGATAAGTTTTCCCAAGCACCCCGATGAGTGACTTCTAAGCACAGAGTGAGGGACAGTTCCTATGTACCACAAGGTGAGGCTCCAAATGCCCTCCACCCCTCATATAAGAATTTAAAATGAGAGATATTTGTATCCAGAAATAGATGTTTCTTTTTGAAAAATTATTTTAATTGAATCACCATGAGCTACAGTTATGAAAATTTCATAACTTCCCTCAAACCCCCAAGCCCCCTGCTCATAAGGCAGGCTTTCAACCATGGAGCAATCTTCATGGTTCTTATCTCTACCATCCTTGGATATTAGTCTCGTATTATGATATTTTGTATTCCACAAATGAGTGCAGTCATTCTATATCTGTCCCACTCTTTCTGACTCATTTCATGTAGCATGATACGCTCCAAGACCATTCATTTATTATCAGATTTCATGACTTCATCTTTCCTAACAGTTGCATTGTATTCCATTGTGTAGATGTACCAAAGTTTATTTAACCAGTCATCTCTTCTTGGGTATTCAGGTTGTTTCCAGAGTCTGCCTATTGTGAACAGTGCAGCAATGAATACACAGATACAGATATTTTTATTTTTTTCTTCTGGTACTCGTCTTTATTTCCCCTCACTCCCATTCCTGCCATCTGGGGCGGCCAGGCCCCTTGGCTTACAAGGTCTGGTGCCCTTTCCCATGCCCTGTGCTGGCGGGGAGGTGGCCACAGGGCTGAAGAGGCTTGGGGAAGGCTCTGGACTCTAGGCAGGGTTGTTTGCAGCCCCTGGCCCCGCTCTCTCTGGGGCAGCTCCGCTAGAGAAGCAGGAATGGTGGCGGTCCCAAGCTTGTTGCCCCACCACAGTCCTGGGGCTGCAGGAAGGGAACCTATTGGTCCCGCTCAGAATTGTGCCTGGGTTATCCCATCAGCCGGGAGCAGGCAGTGGACAGGCCACGGTCCCTCCACCACTGCAGCATGACGTGTTACCTGGTGCCTGTGCGGGCTCGTGCTCCCTGTCTTCCCACAGAGAAAAGGGAGACGGAGGAGGAGGAGGATGGCGAAGGGGCCAGGCTGCTCCTGTCCTGCCAGTGGGGAAGCCCGACACTCCTCCACAGCTTCTGGGAGCTCAGTGGCCGACCCGCGGTGGGGACACGCCCGAGGGGACAAGGGCAGTCGGCCAGCTCGTTTGTTGGCCACGGCTGAGAGCTGGTCCCGGATGCGGTCCAGCCCATGGAGCATGGTGTCCAGCGTCTCCTTACCCAGCTCCATGGTGACCGCTGTCATGGACGGTTTGTCCCCACACAGAATAGGGTCTTCCTGGATCTTCATCTGGAGCAGGCAGGTGGGGACGGCCATGCGGCTGATGCTGTCCGAGGCGGTCTTGATGTCCACCCTCCAGTCCAGGTCCACCAGGCGCAGCAGGGAGATCTGATTGTTTTGGGCTTCAGTTCTCCAAGTAGCTATGTGTTCCAGGATGATCTTCATCAGCAGGTTCTTGTGGCTCTGGTGGAAATCCTCGGGGAAGAAAGCCAGGATTGCCTGGGCGGAGGTCAGGTTGCAGAAGACCACCAGGCTGGTGAGGCTGTGCAGGGCCTGGAGCAGCTGCTCGGCCTCCGCCCTAGTCACTGACAGGCTGAAACTCATCGTCTCCAGCAGCGGGTGGGTGCCGGGGGCTGCACTGGAAAAGCTCTCTCGGCACAGCTGCCGGACAACATCTTTCTAGGAGGCCTAGTAACCAATCTTCAGCAGCAACTGGAGCGCAGCAAAGTGTTCCGCTGTCAGCGTGGCCATCTTCCCTGGGTCATATGCTTTTCTGTGCTTTTTTGCACTCTCAGGATATATGTCCAGAAGTGGTATTATTGGGTCAAATGGGAGCTCAATTTCTAGTTTTTTTTTTTTTGAGAAACATCCATATTGTAGAAACAAATGGTTCAATGACATTCTCTGTGGGAGAATTTAGGCCTTTAAAGAATTCAGGACCAGCTCTGCCATTTGAAAACAGGACATTTTATGCTTATTTGGCAGAGGGATTTTCCTATAAAGACAACCTACATTCTTTTAGATGGTTTATCCAACTCTTTTTCTGTGTGTTATATTAAAATTAATTGTTAATTAAAAATAATCAGTATACATTAAGTAGTATGAAGAATAGATACAAGAGGAATACTGGTAATATAAAAATTATTTGCAAAATGACACTTAAAAATATAGTTAATGTATTTCATCTTTGGGGCTAGACAAATAATACAGTGAGTAGCATGCATACCTTGCATGCAATCAACCTGAATCCAATCCCTGGTACCACAAATAGTCCCTGAGCATCAATGGGAATGATTCCTGGACAAAGAACCCAGAGTGAGCCGTGAGTACTACCCGAAAGGGTCCCCCACCAAAACAGTATATGAAATAGTGGTTTTTGCATGAATGTGTGTGTGTGCAGATGCACTTTTAAAAACAGGGTATTTTGACTTAAATAGAAAGTGAAACTGCCATAAGGTGAAAAGTGAAGTATATTCACATGTATATACATAAGAACAATCAGGCACAGGTATGGATGTATGTTTTCATGGATAATTCATATCAGTGGTCAGTGACAGTGGTCCCGACATATAAAATCTCAGGAAATGTGTATCTGCCCCAGAGATGGTGACTGTAGATTGCCTTACTCAAACATCTTTATGCTGATGTGCACAGGGGCTGACTGCGTAGTAAACATCAATACACTTGAAACACAGTTGAGATATTTAGGGCTGTGAGAAGTGGTTGGACAAGAAAAATGTGATTAGAAATCTAATGGACATTATTTTATTAAAGATGACTTATCACAATTCATGTTCAATGTTCATGTTACATCTCTGGATCTTGGAAAATAGAAATCAAAATCATTAATCTTAATATTCTCAGATAATCGTGCTCTTAAATGTTTAATTGTAAGATAATTATCATGCAATGGACTACGTGTTAAATATGAAAATATAGATTTATTATGCTTATTTCAACATGAAATTTCACATTTTTATATAACAACATGTACTTTTTATATTGAGAACCATCTAATTCCTTCTAGCTCCGTTTTTCTTCCCAAATTCTTCATTATAATGTCTACTTTCTATTAACCTAAATTTGTTTTGAGAATTGACCTCCCTCCTGTAAATACTCTATTATAACATTTAACCCACTTGTATTATCTAGGATAAGTTTTCCACTCCAAGTCCTTATGTAATCATAGCCACAGTGTGACTACATGTTCCCAGATTTTGGTGTTTAGATGCAGACATATTTCAAAGGAGATATTATTGGTCACCACATGCATTATACAATGCCATTTTAAGCCTTCAATAAATATTAAATGAAATATGATAAAGATAGTTATAATGCAGTAATCTCTTAACTAATACTTATATATAAATGATCTGCCTGCTGCTGAAAATCCTAGGAACTCACACTTTTGACTATAAAGTTTAACATTTCATTTATACTATGATGCATTGTTGTGTCTTTTAATTTATGTTGGTGGTAATTAGTGAATGTGAGTCATTCCTGTTGCATGACGCTCAAGCCCTGTGAACACGTTCTTGGTCTTTAGGGCAATACCTCTCTTTATAAACTCCCACTGTGGAACTTAGTTGTTGTTATTACAAAATCTGGTTCTATTCTGATTTAGCAAAAGTGCTGACATGGGCTATAGACTTTACCAATCATGAGCAGATGTGCTGGATCTTGAATAAGAAAACAAAATGAAAATGAACCTTTATGTGGGAATATTTCAGTGAGAGTGGTAGAAATCCCATCTTCTCAGAGGAGCAGTTGAAGAGGTTCCAGCAGGAAGAATCTATGGCCACAGCCTACAAAAGTCACAGTGTTTGACCCTAGCACAGTGCAAGCTGTCACTTCTCCCCTGAGTGATCTTTCAGTGTGATTTAAAGTACTGTTCATAATTTTAGAACTCTAAATAATATTCACTTAGGAGAAAATTAGAGGGCCCTCTTAAATATATGATTTCCTTCTTAAATATGTCCTTTTTTTCTTTTTCAAGTCACTATAAACTTAGAGGCATTCTTTCTCACCTTAACCCTTCCCTTTCTTTTGTTGTGTCTGAGGATATAATGTTTTCTTCTGAACTAAACACATATGTGTGATAGTATTGGCACACTTTTGATGGGGCTCATGCTCTCGACTGTGGTACTTGACAGTGGTTGCATTTTGGTTCAGGTCATCTTTTTACCTTACTTTGTAGTGCTTACACTTGATAATAGTATACTATCAAGTAACACTCCTACATTTTTTTTTATTTTGTTTTACTGCCCCAAAATGCCAGTGCCATGGAGATATACACTCAGCATGTGGGGCCATAAGGGGGATTGAACTAATGACCTCGTGCTGGCAAGGTGGATGATCTACCAATAAGCTATCCTAGGGCCCCCCAAACTCAGAATATTTTTATTCTTAACCCTACAACTAAGTTATGTTCTCCCTCAAGACAGGATTTCTACAATTTCCTTTGTGCACTCTGTTGAGAGCTGGAACGATAGCAGAGTGGGTAGGGCATTTGCCTTGCACAAGGCCAACACGGCCCACCCAGGTTTGATTCCTCCGCCCCTCTTGAGACCCCGACAGACCACCGAGAGTATCTCGTCCATGCGGCAAAGCCTGGCAAGCTCCCTGTGATGTATTTGATATGCCAAACACAGTAACAAGTGTCACAATGGAGACATTACTGGGCCTGCTGGAGCAAATCGATGAATAATGGGAGGACAGTGACAGTGACAGTGACTCTGTTGAAGCCTAAGTAATGATTATAGTGCTTAAAGCTGATGGATATATGAAATTATGTCCTCCATTTACCTGAGAAGGCAAATATAACATAAATTATAATAAGAAACTCTGGTAGACATAAATTAAGACAACGATCTAGTGAAGGAAAGCTAACAAAAATTAGTTTGACCATCTAATCATCAACTAAAGATTTCAAAGCCAAGTAAAATGCCATTTTTACCTTGTGTTGCAAAGTGATAAAATAAATGTGCTATGAAAAAGGGGAGAGATTGCAGTTCTAAATTGTGGAGTTCTCAAAAGTCAGGGCTCTTTTTCTTTATGGCAATCAAGCCCAGCCTCAGCTAAAGCAGCAGCAGCACTGGTGAGTGAGGGCTTTGAACAAAATGGATCCACTTGTGCTATTTTGAGAAATAATCAGCAAAGTGTCATTTCTTATGATGTAACAAGAGGTGCAAGCTATTGACTTAAGGTGGTTCAAATTGCACAAAATGAAAGCAAGAAACATTTTTTCCCCAGTTGCATTATAATATAAAAAAAATGGCAGGTAAAAATCACACCAAATGCCTCCTACTTTCGCTTTCCTGAACAACACAGAAGCTTAAAAAATATAATGGGTTGAATGTCTTTTCTGGTTTTTATCTTACAGAAATAAAAGAATCTGATGTTATATCTCTTTTATACTATGGCATCGGTATTATCTCATATAATCTTCATCTTTAATTAATAAACAAGATATTATGATTATAGTCTATACATTGATTAGACTATAATGAGGGCTAGACAGGGCTGGAGCGATAGCACATTGGGCATTGTGTTTGCTTTGCTCTCGGCAGACCGGAGTTCGATTCCTCTGTTCCTCTCGGAGAGCCTGGCAAGCTACTGAGAGTATCCTGCCCACACAGCAGAGCCTGGCAAGCTACCGTGGCATATTCACTATGCAAAAAAATAGTAAAAACAAGTCTCACAATAGAGACATTACTGGTGCCCGCTTGAGCAAATTGATGAACAACGGGAGTACAGTGCTACAGTGAGACATTGATTAGAAGTATATCAGACACTTTTAATATGTGTACACACACAAAAACATATATATATATATATGTATATTTGGTTTTTGAGCCACAGTTGGCAGTGCTCAGGACTTACTCCTGGCTCTGTGCTTAAGGATCACTCTGGAGGGACTACATGCAGTGCCCGGGACTGAACCCAGGATGATTGTGCAAAGGATGTACCTTATGTGCTATGCTACCTCTCTGGCCCCTTCTTTGGAAATATTTAGTTTTTATGACAAAAATAAATCACACTTTTTTTTGGCGAATAGCATAATAATTTATCCCTATAAATTCACCTACCATTAGGCAGCAAATTATACCTGTGAGCAGACATGGAAAATTAGGTTTAAATATCAGTCTTTCTTTAACTATTGTTGGGTAAAATGCTCTTCAATAGGTGACCTTGTTAATGTAGTAATTCTGCAGTTTTCATTTTGTTCTTACATTTTCCGTCCTTTCTCCCCTTATTGTTGTCTTCCGTTTTTGCACAAAAAGGAAGGCAGAAAAGAGTAGTTAGTACTTTCACACTCTTTTTGCATTGACCTGTGCTTAGCAATTACTGTTTCCAAAGTGGAGGCTTTAATCAAATCCTTGGATAAGCCAAAATTTTGAACAACTACTAAAAGGTATTATGGATTTAATACATAGAGATTTCCTGAAGAGCTGAGGGATTCACACTCTTATAAGGACACTGAGTAAATCTAAATTCCATGCTCAATAAAAGCATGCCAGGCTATTGAGCAAATACTGAGCATGATGACCTAAGGGCGATATGGCTGAAGAGAAAAGTTGATTATGGGAGCCTTGGCATTAAAATTACTTTCTCTGCCTCCTTATCCTTTTTTGTTCATCAAAAGATTAGGTAAGTTGAATGCAAAGTAGGTCCTGGGACTTTGGTTCACAGTAAATCAAAGAACTTTGTGCTCTGAGCACACAAGACTTGGTTAGAATGTTGACATATCA